GCAGGGTAATATTTATGAAGGGATTCAGGGAAAACCGGTTACCGGGGAATCTCAAAAATCGAACTGCCCCAACTCAACCAAATTTTTAAGTGTATTTTTTTAATGCTTTTATAATGTATTTTTGAGGGGCCCCAAATGGACAATCTAATTTACTTTTTCCTATGAGAAAAAATTGTTTTGGGACGGGACTTGAACACCTTTTGGACCCAAGAAAGTTCGAATTTGAGGGTTTCCCCTTATTTTTAATACCGGACTTGAGTCCTGAAATGGGAAGTACAAAGCCACACTCTAAAGGAGGGGGTTTGGGATTAGCAGTTTGGGGATTGTTGTGTATCTTATACTTATATGCTTCTAAACGTTGTTTCGAGCACCTCTGCAAAAAAAGTGATTATGTGTGAGTGAGGTGAAAGTGTTGAATGATGATGAAAGTATTTTCTTTTTGGGATTTTTTTTCTTTTTTGGGTCACCCTGCCTCATGGGAGACGGGCCAAAATTTTGAAAAAAAAACACATTAAAAAAAATGAAATAACTTTTTAAAACACTTGAAATTTTTTGGGGTTTCCGGACATAATGGAGAGACTTAGGGCTTACGGATCTCACAGAGAATGTAAAACCGGGTGGGGCGCGGTGACCATGTTAGAAAGTCAGGTGGGGGGAGCCATATAGCGAGTTTTGGTCATAATTTGAAATGACCGTATTAGCGAAAAGCTGTAAAGCGAAACGCTGTAAAGCGGAGCCCTACTGTATATGTTTCTAAACTGTTGTATTTTGAGCACCTCTGCAAAAACAGTGATTATGTATGAGTGAGGTGAAAGTGTTGAATGTTGATGAAAGTATTTTCTTTTTGGGGAATTTCTTTCTTTTTGGGTCACCCTGCTTCGGTGGGAGACGGCCAGCTTGTTAAAAAAAAAAAAATTGCTTTATTTATGTTAATATTTATGTTACCAAATTTTTTAATTATATTTTTCTTAACATTTAGCATTAAAATAGATAAAAAATTATATATTGCCACGTAAAAGGCCAAAAAAGGTTCTGCAAATTTGTGGGAATTTCTGTGAACAGTTATTAGTTAGGTTCTGTTAGAATGAAAAATCCGCAGATAAGATCGAGACACTTATGCAATATATGAGAATCTTTATTGAGGAAATGTTTTGCCATACAGTGGCTTCATCAGTCCAGTACAAAGTAGAAAGGTGTAAGGAGAGGAGGAGTTTGAGGTAATCAGCCCCTCAGCTTGAAGTCGATGTGTTCAGTCCAATCTTGTAGAATGTACAGCATAGGGACGTAGACGTGGCTTATGTAGTCAGGTGAGGTGAAGCAGGAGGAGGCGGGGTCATAGTGGTACCATCCACTACTCGAAGTAGGTCTTCGTCCAAAGGTTGGACAAGTTTTGAAGAATTCTTTGTATCAAGATCCCATGATGATGCAGTGTCTGACAGTTGTGACGAATGGTTTTGAAAACCGACAAGTTGAAGATTGAGACACTTATGTAACATGGGAATCTTTATTGAGGAAACGTATGTATACAGTATTGTACAGTGGTGTCATATATGTACGTATGACCATTGTGTAACCTAGAAGTGTACATAGTTTAAACATATATGTGAACACATGAAAATTACAAAAATACATTATTTTGTCCACTTCTGTTCCCATTGTGATGGTCTGGCACTTCCACCTGTATCACCATTGCTTTGCACTTAACACCAGACATATTGGGGTATAATAATCACAAATAACAATGAATTTGTGGAGAGAGTACAAGCACATGTATGAACAATGCCACTAGAGTAACCTTCTATGTATTATTTACGTCTCATCAGTTCCTGCAAACTGTTCGTATTATCAAGAGCTCGCAGTATGAATGTTTGTATACAGTGGACCCCCGCATAACGATGGCATCACATAGCGATTAATCCGCATACCGCTTGCTTTAATCGCAAAAATTTTGCCTCACATACCGCTTAAAAACCCGCTCACCGATTTTCGTCCGAGACGCGTCCAATGTGCGGCCTGAGCCACGCTCACATGTTCCGCCGGTGGCATTGTTTACCAGCCAGCCTCCGCGGTAACATCCAAGCATACAATCGGAATATTTCGTATTACAGTGTTTTCGGTGCTTTTTCTGGAAAATAAGTGACCATGGGCCCCAAGAAAGCTTCTAGTGCCAACCCTACAGCAATAAGGGTGAGAATTACAATAGAGATGAAGAAAAAGATCATTGATAAGTATGAAAGTGGAGTGCGTGTCTCCGAGCTGGCCAGGTTGTATAATAAACCCCAATCAACCATCGCTACTATTGGTGGTACAGCTGCTGCTGCTGCTGCACTGTCAGCTGCTGCTGCTGCTGCTGCTGTAGCATCGTCTGCTGCTGCTGTAACATCGTCTGTTGCTGCTGTAGCATCGTCTTCTGCTGCTGTAGCATCGTCTGCTGCTGCTGTAACATCGTCTGTTGCTGCTGTAGCATCGTCTTCTGCTGCTGTAGCATCGTCTGCTGCTGCTGTAGCATCGTCTGCTGCTGCTGTAGCATCGTCTTCTGCTGCTGTAGCATCGTCTGGGTGCTGCTGTAGCATCGTCTGCTGCTGCTGTAGCATCGTCTGCTGCTGCTGTAGCATCGTCTGCTGCTGCTGTAGCATCGTCTGCTGCTGCTGTAGCATCGTCTGCTGCTGCTGCTGCTGTAGCATCGTCTGCTGCTGCTGTAGCACTGTTGTTGGTGTGGCTTATTGAGAATACCAAGAAACAATTAACCCCAGAGGATTTGCCACCCAGGATAACCCAAAAAAGTCAGTGTCATCGAAGACTGTCTAACTTATTTCCATTGGGGTCCTTAATCTTGTCTCCAAGGATGCAACCCACACAAGTCGACTAACACCCAGGTGAACAGGGAAAAATGCCTGGAACTAGTGCTTATATTGGTGAATTTAAAGCCAGCAAAGGTTGGTTTGAGAGATTTAAGAATCGTAGTGGCATACACAGTGTGATAAGGCCTGTTCTGGAAGAAAATACCAAACAGGACCTACAGTACTCAGGAGGAAAAGGCACTCCCAGGACACAGTGTCTCATCAGTCATTGCTGCATCTTCAATAAAGGTAAGTGTCATTTATTCTTCATTTAGTAGACTAGTACATGCACAATATATACTGTGCATGTACTACTCTACTATTGTGCATGTATCCTTCTCTTTGTGTGTAGGAAAATTGTATATTTCATGTGGTAAAAATTTTTTTTCATACTTTTGGGTGTCTTGCACGGATTAATTTTATTTCCATTATTTCTTATGGGGAAAATTCATTCACATACCGATTATTTCGCATAACAATTACCCCTCTTGCACGGATTAAAATCGTTATGCGGGGGTCCACTGTATAGGGGAGTCTTTGTATCAGACAAATATGCAATACAGTGGACTTCGTTTGCTGCATGGTTGGCAGCACCAGACACATACCATATAAAAAAATAATAAATGCTTAATGTAGTGGATTTAATTTTCTGTATCGATGAGTACCGGATGAATTCAGCAGACTAAATGAGCCTGTCTCCAGCTAATTTTTTGTCTGTATTATCCTAATTCCATTGCATAGGGGTGTTAAATGAAGGTTTTACTGTAATGCTATCATTCATAAAGCACAAAGCATTGCTTAGTAAATGGTATCATGCTTTTGTTGCACCATTAGTAAATTCTGCAACTTTCAGATCTATATTTCCATGTATCATTTGATTATGTAGAGTACTGTGTACTTATTTTTTTTTTTCCAACAAGTCAGCCATCTCCTACCGAGGCAGGGTGACCCAAAAAGAAAGAAAATCCCCAAAAAGAAAATGCTTTCATCATCATTCAACACTTTCACCTCACTCCCACATAATCACTGTTTTTGCAGAGATGCCCAGAATACAACAGTTTAGAAGTATATACGTATAAAAATACACAATATATCCCTCCAAACTGCCAATATCCCAAACCCCTCCTTTAGAGTACAGGCATTGTACTTTCCATTTTCCAGGACTCAAGTCGGTTATATAAAATAGTAGTAGGTTGGTAGACAGCAACCACGCAGGGAGGTACTACCGTCCTGCCAAGTGAGTGTAAAACGAAAGCCTGTAATTGTTTTACATGATGGTAGGATTGCTGGTGTCTTGTCTGTCTCATAAATATGCAAGATTACAGGTACGTCTTGCTATTTCTACTTACACTTAGGTCACACTAAACATACATGTACATGTTTATGTATACTCACTCATCTGAGTTTTCTTTGATTTTATCTTAGTTCTTGTTCTTATTACTTTTCCTTTTATATCCATGGGGAAGTGGAATAAGAATCTTTCCTCCGTAAGCCACGCATGTTGTAAAAGTCAACTAAAATGCCGGGAACAATGGGCTAGTAACCCCTTTTCCTGTAATAATTACTAAAAAGAATAAGTACTGTGTACATGTATGATTATTTGTATACCTGGAGTGTACCTGGAGAGAGTTCCGGGGGTCAACGCCCCCGCGGCCCGGCCTGTGACCAGGCCTCCTGGTAGATCAGAGCCTGATCAACCAGGCTGTTACTGCTGTATATGGTACAGCATTGTTTTAATTTTAAATACTTTCCTTACTTATGTACCCCAAATCCAGCATGTCTAAGAAGAATCATTTCAGTATTGATAAAACTGTCACAATGGCAATAGGGGTATCTGCAATGAGATGGGTTATTATTGTTATATCCATGGGGAAGCACTAAATCCATAGGACTCATACAACACTTGAGAAAAGGGAATACATCAGGTTTGTTCCAAGGGAAGGGAGGGTAGCTTCAGTTCCTTGGATCATAAGCTCTTCACTATCATGACACCATGAAACAAATGAGTTGGATGTGCACCTTTGCCTCTGTCTTTTCCTTTTAACTTTAAGTGAGTATTGTACTCTTCATTCTTACATATTGCATGTGATTTGTTATCAGCACTGTGTATTGGAGTGTGAAATGTGAATTCTAACTATAATTTCTTTATCTTATTTTCAGTTAAAATCAAAATCAAAGAATGCATCACAAGAAAATAAAATTAGAAAGAAACAAGAAGAGACAATTGTTGCTCTGGAGAATGAATTACAAACTCACATTCAAGAAATACAATCCCTAGAAAGCCAAGTCAAGGTTCAGAAAGAATTGCTTACTACTCTTGAGAATAAATCAGCTTCCCAAGAAGAGCAACTTAATGACAGCCTGAAAACTGTTGAAAAGCTAAAACTAGATTTAGACAAATATATTTCTGAACAGCAAGAACTCCAGTATAAATTAGAATCTAAAGAAGAATCATTTCAACTTCTTCAGACTTCCAGAGATGCTGACATAGAGAGACTGAAGAATGACCTTATTCATAGACAGGAAGAATATAATAACTCTTTGCTGTTTTATGAAAAAGAACTAAATAATTGCAAAACTGAGCATGACAAGACTATAGAAGAATTAAATAATTCTTTTATTCATGAAAAAGAGATTAAGGATAATAATGACAGCCTCATGAATCAGATTAAGAAGATGGAGTTAACTCATAAGGTAAATAAATTTGTTTTGCTATTTGTGTGTAAATTCTTATTTGTGTTTACCTGCTTGGGGTTGTAAGAGTAGTGTTATATCTAGTGTTCAGATTATTTAATTTGCAGTCTCTTAAAAAATACCTTTAGGCTGTAATGCAAGAGAAGTTTGCCAAACAGAAATGATTAAAAAGTATTGAAAGCAAAAGTTCAGAGGACCAAATATTGATGTTTTGTATTTTCTGACTTCCCTAGTAAAGCTTAAGTTTTTTGGACACTATTTTATTCATCCTTTTCCAAACTTTTTGTGGAAACTATTTATTACTGTGGTTTATTTTTGTTTTCAGTGGTTGTGGCACATACTCTCTTGTAGCCCCACTACTCTGTGATGACATGCTTCCTTTTGTCTCATTTTGTTCCATACTTTTTTCATAACTTTAATATTATGACCCCCTATATTCCTTATTACTTGTTTGAAAGTTTACCTTTCCTGATTTCTTATAGCTCAAGAGGTTATCAGATCTTGTTTTCTTCTTTTATACATTGAAGGCATTTCCAGTCTTTCTTTGGAATTCCTTATGTAATTACCTGTTTGAGTTTTTCTGTAGATGACTTTTATTAATAAAGGTTTTTTAACATTTTCCTTAAACAGTGTGAATACAGAACAAAGGTGCTCACTTAATCCAGTAATGTGAGCTTACAGTATTTTTTTTTATCACACTGGCTGTCTCCTAATGAGGTAGGGTGATCTGAAAAAGAAACTCACTATCATTCACTCTGTCACTGTTGTCAGAGGCACACCAATACCTCAGTTCAGGTGCCCCTCTAAACTGCAGATATCCACACCCCTCCTTCAGAGTGCAGGCACTGTACTTTCCACCTCCAGAACTCAAGTCTGGATAACAGTGTCCCTGAATCCCTTCACAAAATGTTATCTCACACTCCAACAGCTCAGCAAATCCCATAAACCATTTGCCTTCACTTGCCACCTTTTCCCTCAACACCTTCCTTTACCCTGCGGTATTGAAATTTGGTCATCTCAGAAATCTGATATCCCAACACCACAAGACTTTGAAAAAGCAATAAATGACATGCCCATGCACTCTACCCCAGGCCCAGACTCATGGAACTCTGTGTTCATCAAGAATTACAAGAAGCCCCTGTCTCATGCCTTCAGTATTCTATAGAGAGAGAGCATGGACAAAGGGTTCATCCCACACTTACTAAAAACAACAGACATAACCCCACTCTACAGAGATGGCAGTAAAGCAATGGCAAAGAACTACAGACCAATAGCACTAACATCCATATCACAAAAATCTTTGAAAGGGTTCTAAGAAGCAAGATCTCCAACCACCTAGATACCCATCTGCCAACATCTTTACAATTGCAGTAATCAGGAACAAGCGACAAAAAGATGCAAAATAACCACAGGGAGAGTTGAGTGATAGCTCTAGGAGTTTTCTTTTGTAACCAGCATATCTTAATGAGCTTGCAGTGTTACAGAAATGAGTAGGAACAAATCTGCCTCAACTTCCTACTCATTTTGGCAGCATTGCAATCTCCTAATGATGTGTTAATTGCAACACAAAAGGCCTAAGGTTATCATTCAACTTCCTTTGTGGTTATTTTGCATCTTTATTAATATTATTAAAAAACATCTGTCAAACCTCATAAGTGTTAAATCCATTAACCCTTTCAGGGTTTCGGCCGTACTAGTACAGCTTACGCACCAGGGTCCTTGACATACTGGTACTCATAAATTCTAGCGCCTTCAAATCTAGTGAGAGAAAGCTGGTAGGCCTACATATGAAAGAATGGGTCTATGTGGTCAGTGTGTGCAGTTTAAAAAAAATCCTGCAGCACACAGTGCATAATGAGAAAAAAAAACTTTGGCTGTGTTTTTGGATTAAAACAGTGACTGCACTGTATTTTCATATGGTATTTATTGTTGTATTCTAGTTTTCCTGGTCTCATTGTATAGAATGGAAGACATATTACAGAAATTGAGATGATTTTGACTGGTTTTACAATTAAAAGTACCTTGAAATTGAGCTCAAAGTAGCAGAAATGTTCGATTTTTACCAAAGTTCAAAAGTAAACAAATCATGCTAAGCGTCCAATACACGTCAACTGGTGAGTCTAATATTCTTTCACAAGTGCGCCAATATTATTTATACCATTTCTACACTAATGCCGTAGTCTGCATAACAGAAAATCTTCTATTTTTTTGTGAGAATAAAAATTCAAAATGGAAAGCAAAAGAATGTAAGAGGGGCGTGGGGACATGACTAATGAACAGAGGAAATGTTATTTTAGTGCCAGGAATGTCTTTCTTGTTTATTCTGGACCCTATTTGGAAATTGGCATCTTTTGAAATTTGTGTGAAATTGGCAAAATTGCTAAATTCTGAGCACTGTATTGAATAGTTGAAATTGGTAAGTTAGTGGTTTCTTGTACTCATTCGATAGAAAAAATGGAGTTCTAGCAAAATAGTTATTATTTTTGTCGACTAGTACATTGGAATTGGCCAAAAATAGGGCTCAAAGTGGGCAAAATCGCCGATGCGTAAACATCGTCGAGACCGCTAACTTCGCGAGAGCATAATTCCGTAAGTTTTCCATCAAATTTCATACTTTTGGTGCCATTATGATTGGGAAAAGATTCTCTATTTTTCATAATTTTTTTTTTTTTTTTTTTTTTTTTTTTTTTTTTTTTTTTTTGACCCTGAGAACAAGTCTGTGAGAGGGCCTGTGGATCCTGAAAGGGTTAACTGTCTCAAAATTTTCATTCTTTGATTTCACCACTTAAAGTCAGCCACTCCATATAATAGAGATTATTAACCCTTTTAGGGTCGACAGGCCCTCTCCGAGACTTGTTCTCAGGGTCAGCCAAATTTTAAAAAAAAAATTATTTTTTATTATGAAAAGATAGAGAATCTTTTCCCGATCATAATGACACCAAAAGTATGAAATTTGATGGAAAGCTTACGGAATTATGCTCTCGCGAAGTTAGCGGTCTCGACAATGTTTACACATCGGCGATTTTGCCCACTTTGAGCCCTATTTTCAGCCAATTCCTGTGTACTAGTTCGACAAAAATCATAACTATTTCTCTAGAACTCCATTTTTTCTATTGAATGAGTATAAGAAACCACCCATATACTGATTTCAACTATCCAATACAGTGGTCAGAATTTAGCAATTTTGCCAATTTCACACAAACTTCAAAAGATACCACTTTCCGAATAGGGTCCAGAATAAACAAGAAAGACATTCCTGGCACTAAAATATCATTTCCTCTGTTTGTTAGTAACATCCCCAGGCCCCTCTTATATTTCTTTGGCTTTCCACTTTCAATTTTTATTCTTAAAAAAATAGAAGATTTACTGTTATGCAGACTACTGCATTAGTGTAGAAATGGTATAAATAATATCAGCGCACTTGTGAAAGAATATTAGACTCACCAGTTGACGTGTATTGGACGCTTAGCATGATTTGTTTACTTTTGAACTTTGGTAAAAATCGAACATTTCTGCTACTTTGAGCTCAATTTCAAGGTACTTTTAATTGTAAAACCAGTCAAAATCATCTCAATTTCTGTAATATGTCTTCCATTCTTTAAAATGAGACCAAGAAAACTAGAATACAATAACAAATACCATACGAAAATACTGTGCAAAGTCGCTGTTTTATTCCAAAAACACGGTCAAAGTTTTTTTTTTCTCATTATGCACTGTGTGCTGCAGGATTTTTTTTATACTGCACACACTGACCACATAGACCCATTCTTTTATATGTATGCCTACTAGCTTTCTCCCACTAGATTTGAGGGCGCTAGAATTTAGGCGTACTAGTACGTCAAAAACCCTGGGTCGTAAGCCATACTAGTACGGCCGAAATCCTCAAAGGGTTAACCCTTAAACTGTCCAAACGTAGATCTACGTTTTTTCAACATCTGAAAGTATGTAAAAAAATATATCTTTTTTTCTTACATTTGAAAGCGTGTAAAGAAACTTTCATCTACTTTTTTTTTTTAAGTAAAAAAAAAACGTAGATCTACTTCTGGAGCACTACGCATGTGAACGTAGATCTATGTTTGGATAGTTTAAGGGTTAAGTTGGTGTAATATATTTGTAACTGACACCTAATATGGAGGAGTGTAGCAAATAATATTTTAGCAGAGATCATCCCAGGAGGCATCTCAGGTGAAAATTCACACACACACACTAGCTATTAAATCTCTGCACCAAATTCATCTTAATCCAGCAAATATTAGAGCCTACAAGACTAGAAAATACCATTGACCTCATCTTCACTGACAACGACGATCTGAAACGTAATATAACCGTGTCAAAGACAATACACTCAGATCACAACATAATAGAGGTACAGACATGTATGCACAGGGCTCCTGACCAGCAAAATGTGATCATTCATGAGGGTGTCTTCACAAAATTCAACTTCAGTAACAAAAACATACATTGGGAACAAGTTAACCATGTCCTAAATGAAACAAGATGGGAAGATACCCCAATCAACACATATCCAAACCTTTGCCTAGAAAAACAACTGGTTCTTGAGATCTGCTCAAGGCACATTCCATTAGGAAAAGAAAGAGAAGATGTAAACTAGAAAGAGAGAGACGCTTCCTATACAGATGAAGGCGAAGAGTCACAGAGCTGCTGAGAGGGGCCAATGTGTCTGAAATACGAAGGGAGGCACTGGTCAATGAAATTGCAAATATCAAACATAAGCTGAAGGAATCTTACAGGAGACAAGAATTGCAGGAAGAACTAAAAGCCATAAAGGAAATTGAAAAAAAAAAATACTTCTCTTATGCCAAATCTAAGGGAAAAACAACATCCAGTATTGGGCCTCTGCTTTGGCAAGATGGGACATTAACAGATGACAGCCAAGAAGTGAGTGAGATACTAAAGTCCCAATACGACTCGGTGTTCAGTGAGCTGTTACACAAATGAATTCTTTATGAACAAGACACAAAATATGATCATCTTAGAAATCTCGGATAGTATAAACAGACAAGTGTGACCACAGTGTAATAGCGCACAAAATACGTGATAAAGGAATAACAGGAAAAGTTGGTAGATGGATCTATAACTTCCCGACAAATAGAACACAGAGTAATAGTAAACAGAGTAAAGTCCGAGGCAGCTATGATGAAAAGCTCTTGTCCACAAGGCACAGTACTCACTCCCATCCTATCCTACCTCTGTATGTATGCTA